CTGCTGTGGACTCAGAGACGGAGTGCATCAGCATGTGTGTTTTCTCTTAGAAACTACAGATGCTCATCCCTTCTCAAATGTATACGTGTTGTTTTAAGATGGCAGCTTATCCCGAGAAGAAAAGTTGCAGTTGATAATTACTGCATTGTATTCACCTGTACCATCCTTGATGCGATCTCTAACCATGATACAAACATATGGAAGTTTTAAAGATGCTGGGTTCTGAATGCAAATCCCCCACAGTGGTCCCTGCCTCTTTCATCTCTCTCACCCTCCCAGTGTGACTGGGAGATGTGCTATGTGATGGGAGATTGCTCAGGCACTGGGCATTCTGTTAGGCAGGAGGGCTCTGAGTCCCAAGCTTCCTAACCCTACACTTTCTTTCTTCCTCAATTTCATTGCTGTTTTCCTGAATTCTCTGACAATTTGTCAGCTGGGTGCATCCACAAACACTGACACCAAGCATGGGAGAAGCTTTTCCCAGTCTGATTTCACCTTAGTAGCCGGAAAAGCCAGGGGTCAAATGATCACTGCCGAGTAGAGCATTTGAGAATTTCGTTTCTAAAATGGGTTTCTTGAGATCCACGAATTTTTTCTCGGGCACCTGAAAGCAGGGGAACAGTTTGAAAGGGCACTGGAAAATTGTTTGGGGTATAGGAATAATGAGAGAAAATTCAGGACAAGCTTAACTGGCTTCATGAGGAAGATGGGCTTCTGGGGTAGAATCCCTGTTTAGAAAGAGGCAATAATGCAGTTGCAAAGGACTGAAGAGAGGTGCTAAGATGTAAAGAGGGAAGACATTTCATAAAATCGCCTTCCTTTGCCTCAAGGAAATCATTGGATGCTAGGGAAATGTCACTCTAGCTGGGAGGTGCCTTCACTCTATAGGCAGAGATTGGGGAAATTAAGTCCAAGGGCTTTAAAGCCTACCATAGCTACACCTTTATTCTGAGTGTCTTGAACAAGTCTAAGCCTTTCCCGGGGCTCAATAATATTTGTTGAATGATTAGAAAAATTAATAGAACCTGAAGAACTTGGGCTTTAAGTCATCAAAGCTGTTGGCTAGCTTTGTGACATCGGGGGAGGTTATCTTACTTCTCCAAACCTTCCTTTCTTCATCTGAAAAAGGAGTGTGTGGAACCTTCCTTACGAAGTAGTTAAGAAGATTAGATAGTAAGAGAAAAGGGCACTTAGAGCCACATCTAGCATACAGTGAATAAATGTTAGGTATTAATAACCAGACTTAGAATCTCTTTAAATAGTAGATTATAATTTAAACTCTCGTCATAGTGTAAGAAGCATTGGAAGAGGAAAGGAAGAGGAAATTTATTGAGTGTGTGCTGTATCGCAGATCTAAATGTTGAAGGGAGGGATTCATTGAGATGATATGTTTAAATATATATTCAATATGTTTAAACACATATGACAGTAAGATGACTCCTCGAGGTGCATGCTGATTGACCTATCTATGCATTCTTAACTATGTGTGTGCGCATGTGTTTGTGTGTATGCTCTGCATGTGCCTGTATGTATGCATGTGTGTGCATCTGCTTGTGTGTGTATGTTTGGAGTGTATGTTTGTGTGTGTGTGTCTGTGTGAGTGTATGTGTATGCATGTGTTTGTATGTGTATACATTTGTTTGTGTGTGTATGTTTGTTGTGTATGTTTGTGTGTGTCTTTGTGATTGTATGTATATGTGTGTGTATGTTTGTGTGTGTGCATATATTTGTGTGTGTGATATATTTAAATTATTTAAAACATCAGCATGAGAAATATGTTCCAAGATGATATGTGTACATCCACTAAGATCCCTATAATAGTGAAAAACAGATATATACTGTTGATAACTTGATCAATAGTGACATGTCAACATACTATAGACACTAAAGAATGTTTTCTGAAGGCATGAACATTTATGATTCACAGTGGGAGCGGGCTTTTAAACATATGTCTGATTTCCATGTTTGAAACTTCTAGCAAATTGGATTCTACAAATACTTTCTGAAAAATCAGTATTTTTCAAAAAGTCTATAGCACACTATGTTCAAATCCTTATGATTTAGATAATTAACTATATGCCATATGTTCCTATTCACTACGTGTGACCTTATCTTTCTGTCTCTAAGGAAACCCCTAGCCTGGTAATTTATTTCAGGATTTGCATTTGAACTGTGAACTCAATTGTCAGAAACATGAGGGAAATCCGAGGGTTTATACACGACAAATGTTCTGTGGCTAAATAATGTCAAGAAACATCAAGGACGTCAATATGCGACGTGGAGACATTACTCAGGATGCAAAGAGGTTCTGTCTGCTATGGTGCATTATTAGAAAATCATAAAGTCTGGCAGTGTTAGAAGGATTCAAGGTCATTACACATGTATACAGGCCATCTCCTAAGAAATGGATCAGGAAAAAAGAATAACTTAATCAGATTAGAAACACCATTAATACAATCTTTGCATTCCAAAGTCTGAACATTTTTTTTTTTTTAGTAAGTGGCAGACAATTAAGCTTTGAATACAAGTTTTATTTTCTTAAACCATTCTAGTATCTTTGATGGCCACACAAATTAAAATCTGTTGTGGGGTCGAGAACATGATTCAACACAAACCTGTAGATAAAACTTTATCAGGAGAATCCTTGCCAACCTGCTAGAATAGTTACTTGGGCTGATGTCTTCCCTAGTATCCCAGAACGCCCATCCCCTGGTAGGTAACATTCTAAAAGCATTTTACTAGATAATATTGTTTGGAAAAAATAAAGTAGCTTAAGGAAATATTTAATAAATTATTCAAGAACCTTCTTAGTATCAGGGAAATGAATCCTAAGGACCATGTGATTAACAATATCCCAAGACCAACTCAGTCCTTTTGATAATTTCAACACAATCTCTAAAGAGACAAGTTTGGGGTTAATTTTCAGCTCGAACTCTTGACAAATAGGTTAGGTAAATAGCTTCCAAGACAATACAACTTTCTAGAAGACAGGTAAGAATACTGGTACATCATAGGACAAAAGACAAAATTAGAGTTGTCAAGGAAAAAAAAATACTCTCTTAGTACCCAGCTGTACTTATAAAGATATTTGGAAAAAATATTATTTACAAAAATAAAGCAGATGCCAAGATATTTCCAAACATATCACAAGAATGGAATAATTTAATCAGATATGAGAGTTTAATTTTACTTTGATGAAAAAATGAAACTAATGGTGTATTCATTCAGCAGGATTATATTCCGACTTTAAATATTCACGCACATCAAGTTAAATTGTATTTTTAATTCCTAATTAGCATTTAGAACAATGCAGTTTGGAAGCAATTGACTCTGTGTAACTTGCACAGGAAAAACTGATGGAAGGATTTCATTTGAATTCCAAGACAACTGATTCACTGTGTCACAACTTCTTTTCCCAAAAGGTTTTATTCTGCAAAAGCTAGGTGATTAACTCTACGTGTGTGTGTACAGCTCCCGAAAGAATTGAAGTGCCAAGGCGTTCCTGGTACCATTCGCTGGAATCTCATTAGGTTGATGTATCTGCATTTATCTATCAATAAAAACATATAATGTCTGCATATGTATGTACATTATTTCTTAGTCTAACTTAAAATTTAAAAAAAAAATGTGCCCACCCCAGTCGTTTCTTACGTTTGCCCGGTCTCCCTTGTCTTGCATGCCATTTTCTGTCTGCTTTTTAAAGCACAGGCTATCACCCTGAGAACTCCTTTCTTTCAGAACCAACAGATTATCCTTAGGATATGACACATGAAAGCAGATGCAAGCTGGGAATACTCACTGTTTTAAGAGTGGAGCTCAGATAAAGGCAGCAAGACTTTTTCTGAAATAACTTTTACATAAGGGTAAAAATGATTCCTACAGATAACAAAACAATTACCAGCCAACATTAACAGCCCCAGAAAATGGGAAGCTAGAATGAGCAATAAAAACATAGCATTTGGAGTGAGATATTAGAGAGTGGCTATTAAAAATATCTTACTCAATTTCTATTACACCTTAAAACGAAAGTCATCAAAATGTCATTACAGGCCTTTCCCCCAGATTCTTTAGAGTGGATTGAATCGCTCCTGCAAATGGACTGCTATCCAGGACTGACTTAAAGTCCTCTGAAATCACAGCAAAGCAAAACACAGCGTGAAATTTATGACATCTTATATTACAACAATACCCTCCTATACGTACCAGGCTGTATTTGTCTTCAGGTAGCTACAATTAAATATGTCTTATGAAATTAATGACTCCCAGAAGATGCTGCCTTTGAGAAGATCTGCAGCCAGAAACCCCAGCAAAGGGAGCCAGAGTTTAGCTCTGCAAAGCTGAGGTCCACAAAGCATGCATAAAACAGTTTTTTTAAAAAAAATAAATAAATAAATAAAACAAAAACCTTGTGGGGAAAAAAAAGTCAGTTATTTCAAATTTTTTTCAAGCCACCATGTATTACTTAAGCAAGGCAGCAGAGAACTTTTGAAAGCTTCTCAGCTAAAAGCTGAAGAGGAGAGGAACAACTGCAATCAAACAATAAGGGCATCTTTACCCTGGCTTTTGGAAACCTAGGAACCCTGTAAAGAATGTTCAAGCCAGAGGAGATCTTTAACATGCTGTAGTTCTGGCTGAAGTTTACTAGCTCTAACAATAAAATCTACACAACCTAAAGATCATTTTTTTTTTTTTACTGACAACACCCCCCCCCACCTCCCCATGAGGGTGGACACCCAAGCAATCAGCAGCAGCTCTCCATTCCCGAGGCTGAAAAGAAACACAGAAGGTACCTGATTGCACTTGGTTAACAAAAGCTGGGCAGTCTTTGGCAAATGACTGACAATAAAATTCTAACCGGTTCTCTTCTAACCTAACACGTGAAATGAAAACTATTCAAAATTTAAGCAATCATATTTAGAAAGCAGTTTTCCAACACTCTTGGCAAAAAAGCACATGCAATATTTGAAAGAAAATAAAACGTTGATTTTTTTTTTCTTTACCTTTCAGTTCGAGGAGGGCGTCACTTCTCCTGGATCCCATTTTCCGGAGGATAGTCAGTGCTGGCCGGTTTAGAATAAAAACCATTAGCATATTACTTAAAAAGAAAAAAAGGGGAAAAAAATCTACCAAGCCGCTTTAAGGAGAAGGAAACTAACGAGGCTAGTGGCAATACAAGCCTTTCCTGATTCTTGTTTCCCCCTAATCATCTTATTCACAGTGTCTGTTGCCCGCAGCATCCATCAATTAGCAGTTTTTAAGGGAGCAGGACCTTATTCGGTCTCGTCTGCTGCACGGGGCTGCGTTCTCCATAGTCCCTCAATCACCCAGGCTCCTTTTTAACAAGGATCTAGAAAGCAAGCGACTGAAAATCCTTCAATAGCACACAAACACTCCGTTCCTGGGAACTGCCGATATCGGACTCAGCAACTTTCCCTCAAATAGCCAGCCTAAGAGTCCAGGTCCCTAGCACCAAGTCACAGCTCGCCCGCCCCGGTGAGCTTTAGAGCTTGGGCAAAGCGATGCTCACGGAGTCAGGGGAACTAAGGCTGATTTACTGGGTCCTGGCGAAAGCGGCTACCGGCGAGGCGGCCCCAGCTGAGAAAGGGAGAACAGCAAGGCACCCTTCCTGGCTCCCTCTGTCCACCTACCGTCTCATCGTGCTACTCACAAATGAAATGCTAATAGACGCGAGGACTGATGCCAATTTCCTGCACTTTGCTCAGCGTTTCCGCGGCCCCAGCACAATAAAAGATAGCTGTTTGTGGAGAATGCTCTGTTCCATACCATTAACTCCGAACAAAACATATTTTTAGTGGGACAGCGGTGTTTACTCGTAAGAACTGATGAAATGGTCTGCACCATACATCACCCACAGACAAAGACGTTCAGCTACAGTTTGGACATAAATCAAGGTACATGCTCCTCAATTAAAAAAAAAAAAAAAAAAGACCGCTTAAGTCCCTCAAACACAGAGATTGAGGTCAGGCTGGCCATAGCAACCACAAGCAGAACTTGGGCTTCCAGAAGGACCTAGCAACCGATAAATGAGTTCAGATCTCTTTTCATCTCCTCTGGTGTGAAAGCCAAAATTAAAAAGATTAGATCACCCTGCACCCATCACAAAAGGTACCACAATGAAAAAGTCATTCCCAGCCTCTGACTCGTATCAAATAAATAACCTTCCTCCTTGCTATAATGAACAACTTCCAAAGTAAATTGAATCTCCATAGCCCGCTTTCCCTGGCCGAACAGTATTTACATAACAATATATCACGGGAAGACCTGAATAGATCTCGTAAATGGAATCTGGGGATAAAAGCATCCGTAGCCCAGATTACTGTATGTTCAGAAGGCTTTGCAGTACCCCATAGAAACAGTGTCTTGTACCACGAACACAAACAATGTCTTTAAATTGTGGGAAATACAAGTTCTTAGGTACCTTTTAAAACGCCTGGACTCTCCCAGTGAACCACCTTGGGGGGGGGGGTGGGGACGGGTCAAGAATGAAGATAAAAAACCACTCGCTGCCCTTAACCCACGCTCTCGACTTCATTCTGTGACAAAGAATTTTCACCTGTGTGGCTCCTCGCCTCTTTGTTCATACTAGCAATCTTTGATCCCAAAGAGCTGCTGGACTTTTTTACATGGTACTTAAAATAAAAACACGTTTGCCGATTTTTTTTTTTTTTAGCATGTGTCTCATTCATCACCTGTTTCCTAGAAAGTCCCTGACACCCTCCATTGTCATGACCATAACGCCGGCGAAGTTTTAGGAATGTCTCTCCACACAGAGTGTTCATCCTCAGCAGCCTGAGACGAGATGTCTCCTGGTCACTCAACAACAAATTCAGGGCTGGTCTCCAAATCACATCAACTCCCAGAAACTATTGTACCCTGCATAGGCGTCAAATGGCATGTATTCAAAGTAAGACAGGCAAGTCTATGGCAAAAACCTAGCAGCCTAATCTTTTCGTGGAGGCTCCACGTAGATGTTACTATTTGAGCTCCACAGGGAATCTCATTAATTTTTAAAACTCTCTGACCTCAGTACGGTTGAGTGTGAAAATAATTACGAATCAAGAACGAGAGCCCATCACTTGAATTCTGCACAGCCATATGCTCCGCCTTGCACAAAACGTTACTATCGTCAAACAGAAATTCTTTTTTTTTTAAACAGATACAGATTTAAACAGCATGATAAATGTCACCACACAGACATAAAAAGCAGCCCACCCTTCCTCCAGCCCTGCTCAAACCTCACCTCTCAGGTTTTAATAACACAAAGACCTGTGTGAACACAGACAGGTTCTATAGGCAAGGGACGGCCAGGGAAGATGCCCTCTTAAAAAAATATCTACCTATAGAGACTTCCTTTTTGAATCACGGATGTCTCTCTCGGTCACAAAGATACAGAAATGAAAAGATTGCATATAAATGTTTTCTTACCTAAAACTTGGTAGAAGAATGTTCTCATCATCCTGGTCACCTCCTCCGGTTTCCCCTCTTGCCATCATGGGAATTGACTCGGGTGTGTTGATTACTGTGTGTCTCAGTTAGAGCTGTGACACACTCAGCTGCCTGCATTGAACCTATGAGGGGAAATGAGAGAGGAAGGGTGGCGGAAAGAAAATGAGAGGGAGAGAGGAGGGAGGGGAGGAAGAGAGGGGGGGGAGAGAGAGAGAGAGAGAGAGAGAGAGAGAGAGAGAGAGAGAGAGAGAGGGCACTAAAGAGAGACTAAGAGAAAGCCAGCCAGCCAGCCCAACTGCTGACTTGAGACTAAGAACCTCTAGCCAAGTGAAGCCATGACAAAGATGGTCAGAGCTTTGTCCTGCATCAGCAGTGTAGACAGCTAGTTTTTTCTTTCCCCCTCCTCTGAAAAGTAGGACTGTCATTGGGGAGTCTCACCAGGAGGGCGCAGACAGAGGCAGCCCTTCTCCAGAGTGCTAGCTCTGCCCAGCAGCCCGTGCAGAATACAGGTACCTATTGTTCCGGAGACAGATATGTAGCCAGCCAGTCAGCCTCCGACAGATCTCAGCAAACCAGCGAGCCTGCCTTCATTTTAACTCCTTCTTTCCTAGTGCCTTTTGCTGAGAGACTCAGGTCTCCTCATCACCCACAAGAAATAACTGGGGCTGAGGTGGATGGTCTCCTGGCAGGAACTGCTTCTTTTACAGGGAGGGACTTTAGCTACTGGTCCTGAAATTTGCATTTGATGGTAAATGTCTTCTCTCTCTCTCTCTCTCTCTCTCTCTCTCTCTCTCTTTTTTTTTCTGGGAAGAAATGAAGTGTTAGGTGATAAGAGGAAGACGGCACGTAAGAGAAAACCCTTGGCGTGCAAGGGTTTTCTATTTTAAAAAGAAGATGAAAATCAAGGTTATTTCAACTACCCTGGCCATAAAGATGTATGTCCCAGCACAGATGAAGCCCCTCCCTCCCTTAAACCAAGAGAGTCCCAATCTTGAGCATAGGGGTAAAGCCCATTTAAGACATTCCCTATCAGAGCCAACCCCAGTAAATCTGTTTCCCTACAGCTGGACTCTTTTTGATCCCCCGTCCTTTTAATAAACACTACTGCTTTTTCAAGAATCCCCCCAACTATCTCTCATCTCCAGTTCCTCCCCAATGCCTATACCACGCAAAATTAGAGAAGCTCAGAGAAAAATGACTTATTTCCCCATTCTCCTTGGTAGGGCTGAAGATCCAGACAGAACATTTGATTCTCCAAATTCCTAGACCTCAGCGGGCCACACTGCATTCTAGTTTTCATCCACGTAGTGTATTAATTGAATGTTTTTCCTTGATAGGGTGCAAACGGAGGCTTTGCTCCTGATCATAGGACAATGATGGAAAATAGAGAACAGAATAAGAGAAAACGTATCTTGTCACTGAGTCAAGATAAGAGGTGACTGAGAAAAAGACCCACTGTGTGCCCTCTGCTTTCTCCAGAACGAACACCATACATTGTTGTCAGAGTTCCCTCAAGGGAAACGGCATGGGCTGAAATAGGAGGGATGCTGCCGAGAGCAGAGATGGTTAAGAAATCTCTTTGTAAAATCCACACTCAGGCATCACTTTACAAAGCCAGAGGGTAAACACTAAAAGCAGGAGGGGGGAGGTTCAGTCATGCATGGCTGTTAATGGTAATGAGACATGTAGAACACAGATATGCCCTGCCGAACAGCTTCTCCCAAATACTTGGGGTTTGTTTTGTTCATTTTTAAAAAGCAAACTAGTACTAGATGACGTCAGGGTGTTTTAGGAAACTCTGCATGGGGATGGGTGAGTGTTTCTTCTCCCAAATTCCAGCATTTTGAAACCACTTTGGGTCATGCTGACTTGACTAGGTCTCTGAGCAATTAATACAGGCTTTGGAAACCCAGAAGTGAAAATTGCTTAACTTGGTGACATCTGAAAAGGCTGCCTTGGGCTCTCTGCTCAGACTTCTATCAGACCCAGGATGCCATCTGATTTCATCTGAACAAAGAGCAAAAGTATAAACGTTTTCTTACTAAACACACCAACTGCTAACGTCTAAGCCGAGGATAAAACAAGGGGACCTTGCAGCTCTTTTCTTCCCCGTGCATAATCTGATTCCCCCCCCCCCCAAGCCCATCTTAAAGAATGTGTTCTCTGCTCTGCCAATGAAAAATCTTTGCTATGACTATCCCAGTAACAAAATAGCAGAAGCCCATTCAATGAGAGCAAGGAAGACAGGCTATAGAACCTTCAACAGGAGAGCCCTAGATCTCAGCAGAGGTGACACCTATCCCTAGCTCTTAGTGCTGCCCCTAAGTACAGAGGAGGCGTGTAGCCTCTCGCTCCTGAGCACATGAGAAGACTTAGGAGTAAGTGTGTTTAATTAGAGCTGTACCCAGGCCCTATCCAGATGTTGCCTTTTATGCCCTCCCCCTTTTGATCTTTCTGTTCCTCTTCTGTGCTCATCAGAGAACTGAGCTTTGGTGTGCCAAACTGGCTTTAAACATTCAGCTCTTAACAGGTTTGAATACGGACAGTTCTCACAGTCAGGGGGCACCATTTTCTGGGTGCCTATGAAGAGGGCTATCAACATTAGTGAGAGTCATGTGCACAGGGAAACGCAGAATAGGCATATTACAGGGAGCATAGGTGCATTACGTGTGTCTGCTGTGCTTAAACGGGTCTCGGTTTGTGCATGGCACACATTGTTATATGCTTTGGAGTAGGGAAAAGATCTTAGTGGCTTTTTTTTTCTTTTTCATGAAGTTCCTACTAGGATGCCTATGTCACTTCCAGGCCATCACTATAGCCCTAAGCTTAGAATTCACTGCCGTCCCCAATTTGCCAAAGAAGTCACCTCAAGTAAGACTCCAGCAGGATGTGCCAACTGCTCTTTGAAAGGAAAAACAAGCTGCCATGTGCTGGCCTTGTAAAGTCTAAACACAGAAGAGAGTGAGGTTCTACCCTACCCAGCAGCCAGGGGAACTCTGGGTCCTTGGATATTAGGTATTAACTCTTTGTGTCTATATAGCTTGGTCTGAGAGACCCAAATGGAGTTTTCCAGAAGAGATGCAGGAGGAAACATAACATCTTCATTATATTAGGGAATCTTCCAATTTTTATACCCCCCCTCAGGATATGCTACAGTGTGCTTCAGTTATTCCCATAATAAACCCCAGGCTCCTGTGACTTCTGAGGGATCCTTCAGGAATGCTTTAAGTAACTCAACTGCAGGAAAGTTAAAAATAGTCTCTCCACCAAATTAAACATTATCTAAGTTCTCCGTGCAGCTATTAGATACACAGAAAATCACCTCTGAGCACCCTCTACAAATGGCTTAGATTACATATTAAAATTCTAATTAAAAGTCCCCGTCTTATCTACACTGGCTGATTTGAGATTACAGAGTAAATTCTGATTTGGAGTAAAACTTGTGAGGAATGGTGATTTCTGATGGGTGCACACTAATGGCAAAATTACAGAGACTTTTGTAGTAGAATATTCAAGCAATGAGCAAATCCTGGGACTTTCTTTAGACCATGGCTCCTTGGTTTCGTAAGATCTCCTGGTGACTTTTATTCCCTAGAACCTTGCTCTCTTGAAAGTTAGTGAACAATCATCAGGAATGCTAGCATTTCTTCAAAACACAAGGGGGAAGTGTTGGCACAAATGACATTGAAAGTGGAAAAGAAATAGAAACCCAACTATGTACTTCCGGAAAGATGTGAAAAAGTATAAACCAAGGCATTGCAGGATTTCAGATCCAGAACGTAATAAATATTGGTTATCCAGGTTTCCACTTAATTCATAGCTAAATAAAAATACTGCTTCTGGGAGTTTTGTTTTAAAAGATCATGGATAATTTAATGGAAAATATTAGGAGGTACCTGACATCCCCTCCAAAGCATGTAATCTTTCTAGTAGGAGCAAAATTACACATTTTCCCTTGCTATTCTTTCACTATCCCACGAGTTGATCTATTTTGTGGTTTAGCTGCCATATACTTTAATTGAGATAACTACTTGGTTTTAGAAAAGCCCTGTGAGGTAGTTTTATTCAACAGTTAGTAAGCAGTAGGATGCTTTGAAATAATAGCAACGCACTCTGCCTTCTTTATTCTACAGTAGCCGTTGGAAGTCAAGTCAGAGAACACACAGGCCCAGGGAAGAGAATGCTAATATTTTGAGTGGCAGCGGAAAGGGAAGCGTTTGCATCATCACATGTGTAAATGAAGCACTATATCATTCTGTGTCCCCGTAAATGTGTTCCCAAGTACTCTCTGACTTCCAGCACAATGAATAAGAAGTCAACATGAACCTAACTGATGAGAGTTGATACCCAATACAAAAGCATTTCACAGAAGTTAGGAAGCTCCCACAAGGGGATTAGGCAAGGGGAAAAAAATGGAAAAGATTTCACTACATTTACTTTGCATCTTTGCATAATTCTTTCAAACATAGAACATTCTAGAGCAAGCATTTCCTTCAGGAATTCCAACTGAAGTTTTTCTTAAGAGATACCCATCATTCTATAGTCAGAGCTTTGAGCCAGGACCAACCTGGCTTCTCCAAGAAAGGACTTCCCAGTCACTGGTGGCATCCTGATAGAGCAGGCGCCTCAAGGGAAATGTTCCCATCTTGTTTCTGTCCTGTGCAATCTTCACTCATGCAAATCTTTGGCTAAAAGTCAGGATAAGGTGTGATTTATTAATACGGCAAAGTCATTACAATCTCTACCAAAATGTTATTGGACATTTCCCTTGCCATTACTGTTTAAAGGAGTCTTTAAAACACAATTTTGTTCCCTTCCACCCGGTCAAGTTTTTCTCCACAGATAATTGACTTTCATTACATACACAAAGAGCGTCGGTGAAGTCAGGATGCATGAGGCATTTAAATATTTCCAAATGAAAGTCTGCCCGCATCTCTGTTCGGGTGCCCAAACATACTCTCATTGGAGTCTGTGCAACTGATCATTAGGGCTCCTCGGGTGTAAGAGGAAGGCCACATGCACAGCCGTGTCCGTCATTAGCAGAGAAGGACGCATAGCAGTAAGTGGGCTATCTTAAACAAGTGGCTTACAGAGCCACGTGTCCTCCTGGCTAATCGTG